CACAGACCATGGATACAAAACACCATATACAAAAACCACCCACAAATAAAAACACATACAAGTATACCACAAGCATACAGAACTCCTACACACACACACAGAGTTCCAACACTCCCAATTGATGCAAACACACCATAGATATCATATACACAAATATCATATACTCACTTAAATACACCACAGGCATACAGACCATAGGCACACTTAGACATACACAGACAAACTCAGTCCATATACACAGTCTCAGAAATTCTTTATGGGATTTTATTTCTTCTTGTCTATTCATGCCCCAATATCTATTCAGTTCCTACGGGATTCATGATCTCATTTACATTTTACCTCCTGCTGCTGGGTTCTGCTTTCTATCCCAAAAAGGAAACACAAACTATTTCCTTTGATTTCCCAGAGCAACACCAACACAAAACATTTGTGATTAATGAGAAGAAACTTTACACCAAGACAAAGCGTAGCAAATGGACTGAAACAGAATATTTTAACCCCCCTGTACCATTTCTGCTTCTGAGATTATCTCACTGACCCTTTCTCCTCTTCAACATCCATTCCTATACCTGGCCTTCCTTACCACTCCTCCCCTTTCTCAAGGTTCCAGGACCTTCCCAGAGTACATTTTTCAGGAGTGCACTCTCCCGTTCATTATTGCATTTCCATTCCATGTCCTTGGACTTCACTTTTCATTCCCAAAACAGGTTACTGAGATATTTTCCTGAAAAGAAAACCACTTTTCTACTTCAGAGAAAAATTTTGTAACTCTCTTAGAAGGCAAAAATAACTTGCAGCAATTGTCTTCATACCAATTATTTTTTCTTTTCTCTCTATGTTCTCAAAATGTTCATACTCAGTGGCAAAAAAATGTATCGTTAGTAATTTTCATTGCTTTATGCAATTTATCAAAAACCGTTATGTGGTTATGATCCTGCTACAATAACTTTTCTAAAAAAATTTGGAGGTTTATATTCAATACTATAGGAACCATTTTTCAAGAAATGGGATATTTTGGATAATCAACTATTCTGATTTATGGAGCATTATCAAAACTCTACACATGAATTACCAACCTTCAAAGAAGTAACATAAAGCATCAGTAGGTTTCCCCACCTGCCATAATGCAGGCATTATGGAGATATTAATGAGTCAGATATTTAGCCCTCACAGAACATCATTTTCTCTGTTTAAATGTTTGCCTTTGTGAGGGAAAAAGACATGACTTTTATATAAAGCTTTTGGTATAAAACAAATATTGGATAAACATCAGTTCCCTGACTTCTCTATTTCTTTACCTTCTCCAATTTAAAAAAAAAAAATTATTGCTCTATATAACACAATTTCCTGTTTTACCGATAAATTCTAAAGGCACTTAACAATCTTACTGTGCCCTAGGCCTTCCATATGAGTATCCATTCTTACTGTGTTCTAGAGTGCTAAAACACTAGGTAATAGCACTTACTGTATATAACTAGTTCATGGGAGAAATCTAATAATTCCCCATGATTCCTAATTTGCATCAGTTGTTATTTTTGTTATTCAGTTCTGCTAACAACTATTAAGAGTCTTGTACAAGTAAAGTTGATCTGACGGTGCCTTTATTTTATGGTGAAAAAAAGTGTATTTCGAATTAGCCAACTGTATTTAGTTTATATGATCTTGGTTTTGTTGGTAACACCCAAAGCATCCTAGTCAGGAGCCAGTGGAACATATGCCATCTTCTCCCTCCAGTCCAGTCAGGGTGCTGACCTTGACCAGTCAGTGCCATAGAGCTTCCTCACAGCCTGTGTGGTCTGGTGCTCGCTGGCCTTGACATCCACCATGAATGTGTGCACTGTTGTTTTCTATCTCCTTCACGGCTGACTCGGTGTTCAGGGAGAACTTGATGATGGTGTGCAGGTCAAGCTTGTTTCTGCTGGGAGCACTCTGCTGAGGAGATTTGGGTTGCCTTTGGAGTGGCAGTGCCTTGGGCCCTTGAAAGGTGGGTAACATGTTGACCTTTTTTCTCCAATGGCTGCAGATAACTGCTTTCTTGGCCTTAGTTTTTGCTTTGGCTTCAGCTTTCGGTGGGCAAGGGCTTCCTTCTTTACTTTCTATGCTATCTTCATGAAAGGGGTTTATGTTACTTTATAGGGGAAGTTGTCCACATCAAGAAGAGTTAGGCTTTAGGTATCTAAACAGATGCTCATAAGCTGTTATGTAAATTAATTGTTTAACAAAATCCATTTTTTAAAAACAATTCAGTGGTCTTATTTTTGAGTGATTTTTCAAAAATGTAGAATTCATTTTGTAGTAGTTTATTTTTTTTTAATTTCAAGTGATGTAATTTAAAACTTAAGTTGTGTTTTAAAACAGCAACAAACTGTATTATATTTTGCTGTAATTAACTGAATAATGTAAACTTAATTATTTTATCATGGTTTTAAAATTTTTGCATATTTGCTTTATCTTATGCTGCTGATTTTTTTTACTGAGTTTATAAGATTTCATTTATCAAAGCAACTATTATGTGGAGACTTGCTTAGATCATGAATTATTTAAGATTATTACAGGTTTTTTATTAGAATCCCAAGCTTTATTTCTCTTTAGCATTAATATTATTTTATCTATAGTGTCTCTATTTTTTTTCTTTTAAGTAATTTTTTTTTTTTATTTTGGAGGTGCTCTAAAATTTCCATGATGCCATTGTTTATCAGTTATGCCACATTTACAGGAAGGATGCTGCTGGTTCTATCATAGAAATGTCTTCTTCCTTTCTGCTGGCTTAAGGATTTTTCCAATCCCTCTCTGTCCCCCTTCCTTGTAGAATATCTTTGGCTTATAACTGCTTGTTTTTGTTTTGCTGTGTTTTGTATTGTTATAACAATACACTTTCTTTTCTCAATGTCTTATTTGGTTCTCTGAAATTCCTCCTGTAAGTGAAACCATTGATATTGTTCTTTTTCCTTCTGATTTATTTTACTGAGCATAATCCCTCAGGTTCCATCCATTTTCCTGTGAATGGCATGAGTTTATCTTTTTTTGATTGCTAAGTAGTATTCTGTTATGTGTGTGTGTGTGTACATATACATATACATACATGCATATATATATATACATGTACCACATCTTTTTGATCCAATCATCTAGTTTTGGGCATTTGGGTTATTTCCAAGATTTAAATGCAAGTAGTGCTATAATAAACATAGTGGTACATGTGTCCTTTTGAATTATTGTCTTTGTGTCTATTGGGAGATACCTAGGAGTGGAATTGCTAGATTATATGGGAGCTCCATTTTGAGCAGTTTGAGAAACTTCCACACAGCTTTCCATAGTGGTTTTAATAGTTTGCATTCCCACCAGCAACGTAGGAGATTCCTTTTTGATCACATCCTTGCCAAAACATTTGTTGTTAGTTTTTTTGATATGTGCCATTCTTACTGGTGTGAGGTGGTACCTCATTCTGGTTTTCATTTGCATTCCCATACACCTGTTGGTCACTTGCACTTTCTTTTCAGATAAGTGTCTTTTAATTTCTTCTGCCCATTTCTTGACTAAATTCTTTGCTTTGTTTTTGTTGATTCCTGTGAGCTCTTTGTATATCTTTGTGATCAGTCCTTTATCCATTGTATGAAGTGCAAAGATTTTTTCCCTGTCAATAGGGTGTCTCTTTGTCTTGATTAATGTCTCTTTCACTATACAGAAGCTTTTCAGTTTGATGTAATCCCATGTGTTTATCTTTTCCTTCATTTTCTTTGCTTTGGGTGAAGAGTCTTTAAAGATGTTATTGAGATGTATGCCTTGTAGTGTTTTATGTATATTTTCTTTTATATATTTCATGGTTTCAGGGTTATGCCCAAATCTTTTATCCATTTTGAGTTGATTTTCATGTATGGTGAGAGGTAGTGGTCTAGTTTCATTATTTTGCTTATGTTGGTCCAGTTTTCCCATCACCATTTGTTAAACAAAACTGTCCTTGTTCCAGTGCATATTCTTTGCTCCATTGTTAAAAGATTAATTGTCCATATATATGTGTGTTTAATTCTGGGCTTTCTATTTGGTTTCTATTTTTGATGTTCAAATTAATCTGATTTTAATTCCACATACAAAATATAAGTAAGACCTTGGAGGAGGCAGTGCTTTGTGTGATTGTATAAATATTATGTTTGCCATTTAAAAATATTGTCATTTTAAAGAACAGATACAAAATTGTATACTAGCTATAGATACATAGCTAGTAAAATTACTTGAGGGGTGTTTTTTATTGTTGTTTTATATATTTGCCATCTATTTTTTTTTAAATATATGTGTATATTTTTTTTTTAAAGATTTATTTATTTGTTCATACAGACCTGGGGTACAGGCCAGAGGCTCAGGGGCGGTGAGAGGCTTCACCAGAGACAGAGTGGGGAGCAGAACAGGCAGATCGACGAAGTACACTGCTGAGGGGAGCAGCGGGCGGGTCAGGAGAGGTCCGCCACGCCATGTGGTCACCTCCGGGGCAGGCGGGAATCGAACTCATGCGGAAGCGGCTTTAGATTCTCAGTGCTATGCTTTAACCCGCTGCGCCACCAGGGAGGGCCTATTTTTAATAACTCACAATAAAGAAACTGTGAGATATTTAGTCATGCAGATTAAATGACCAAATCAAAGCATATGTAGGAACACTTCTTGGTAATGATTAACTCTACCCTGAAATGATGGCCAAAGTTATAATGTGTGTTATTTACACTTCAACCACTTATATTAGTAAATCTCCAAAGATTAGCCACATTGGTTTGTTTTTATTATATATTTTGTATTCACTGTATTCCATTGCTGTAACTATGTAGTCCTTTTAAATCAAAACTTTAATTGCAAAACAAAGGATATTGTTTTTAAAGATTTTGTGAATAAAGCTTTAGAGGAAAAACATTTAATATTGTCATTTTGACCCTGCCAATGCCAAATTTTTAATTTCCATATTTAACCTTTTCTTTTTTGCTTGTTGTTTTCAGTTTCTCACTCCACAAGAAATTATGGAGCTGATCAACTCTACTGATAACAACCTTCATGTCTCTACTTCACAAAGAAATAGTACTCATTTTCCTTCAATTCCTGTCTCAAATACGATGGCTGTCCTTTTTTTGTTCATGTCATGTATATTCGGTACAGTCACCAACGGGCTTTACATGTGGGTGCTAAAATTCAAGATGAAAAAGACTGTTGGTACTCTTTTATTTTTTCATCTCATTCTTTCGTATTTTATTTTCACATTGACCTCGCCATTTATGGCTACCTTATTTCTGAAAAACAAGCACTGGAGCTTTGGCACTGTCATGTGCAAAGTCATTAACAGCACTTTATCTGTAGGGATGTTCTCCTCTGTTTTCTTTCTCGCGGCCATCAGTGTGGATCGGTATCTTCTCACTCTTCACCCAATATGGTCACAGTTGCACCGGACCCCACGCTGGGCTTCCAGCATTATCCTAGGAGTCTGGGTCTCTGCTATTGCCCTCAGCATGCCCTCTATGGTTTTCAGGGAGACACATACTGACCTTAAAGGAAGAGTGACTTGCACGAATAACTATGCTGCGTTTAGTAATTGGGAAGGCAAAAAATCACAAACATTGAGCAAACAAATTCATACAGCCCTTTTCATCTGCCGCTTCTTGCTAGGCTTCCTTCTGCCTTTCTTCATCATCACCTTTTGTTACAAAAGGGTAGCCAACAAGATGAAAGAGAAGAGCCTATTTAAATCCAACAAGCCCTTCAAAGTCATGGTGACTGCCATTATCTCTTTCTTTGTGTGCTGGATGCCCTACCATGTATACCAGGGTTTAGTTCTCACTAAGACCCAATCACAATTTTTAGAGTTGCTTCTGATACTTACAATAGTAACCACTTTTTTCAATACTGTTTTTTCTCCCACACTCTACCTATTTACTGGGGAGAACTTCAAAATGATGTTCAAGAAGTCCATTCTTGCTCTGTTTGAATCTACATTCAATGTCGAGTCTTCAACAGAAAAGATACAAAATTTAAATTCAGAATCCTAAATTTAGATTCTGGATTGGAGAGCAAACATGAACTCTTGGTCAATTAGCATCACCAAAGATTTACCCTCTGATTTTGTATAATATATTCCCTACTTAGAGAGCTGTCTAGGCTTACTATCATAAGCTTTATTAATATTAAAAGGACTGTAATCAATAGGTGATACTGCAGACATAATTTTTCCTCTCATTGCAATCAAACATGATATAATAACATTTGCCATTTTCACCATGTGTAAATTTCTGTAGCATTAACTATATTCACAAGGTTGTGTGTCAGCCACTACTATTTAATTCCAAAACCTTCCATCGTCCCACAGGGAAACCCGATAGCCATTAAACAATAATTCCTTATTCTCACCTTCCCTGTCTCCTCATGCCCTTCAATACCTGTCTCTAGGAATTTGCTTATTCTAGATACTCCCTATAAATAGAATGATAAAATACTTTTGTACCTGGTTTATTGTACTTAGCATAATATTTTCAAGGTTGATCCATGTTGAAACATGCATCATAATTTTTTTACAGCTAAATAATACTTTGTTGTATATATGTCCAACATTTTGCTTATTCTCTCTTCTGTTGAACAACATTTGGCTTGTTTTCTCCTTTTGACTACCTTGAGTAAAAATATTATGAGCAATGGTGTGCAGTATCTGAGACCTTGTTTTCAATTATTTTGAATTGCTGTTTCATATTGTTGATCTGTGTTTAACTTTTGGAGAAACTAGCAAACTTTTCCGTAGTGACTAGTAACATGAATATGTTACACACCCACCAGCATGGTATAACACTTCCAGTTTCTCCATACACATCCTCACAAACATTTTTCCTGGTGGCTCAGCAGGTTGGAGCGCTGCACTGCGAAGCTAAGCGAAGCCGTGGCCTTTTCAGTGGGAGTTCAATCCCCTCCAAGGTGATCCACATGGCATGCAGACTTCTTCTAACCTGCCCGCTGCTCCCCTTGGCAGTGTACTTGGTCGATCTGCCTGCTCTGCTCCCGACTCTTTCGCTAAGTGAATTCTTTCGCTGCCCCTGCATCTCTAGCTATACGCCATTTCTGTATGCATAAATAAATAAATCTTGTTTAAAAATGAGAGTCAAAGTGATTTACAATCTTTGATTTTTGAGGCTATCAGAATATCAACCCATTCACCTGAATTTTCTGTCACAGAATCATTTAGAAAACAGAAGTTTTTCTTTACTTAGCTAGCATCTAAGTTAATGATAAGGGCAAAATTTAACATTGAGATAACATGGCACTCATCTTCTCATACCCATATTAAAGTATTGTTTTAGTGGTAAATATGAAAATATCATAAATGTCTCTCTTCAATACCTATAGATTAAAATTTTCTCAGAAATATGGGGTGAAGACAGTTATAAATAATAATAGACCTAGGTGATGTGCTCTCCTATTTAACTTAGAATAGCAATAACACTGTCAATTTGTCTTCAATTTTTGTTTCAGCACCTAAGTTATCTAAGACACATAGTATCACTGATCTATCACCTTTTATTCAGTCAGTTATTTAATTAGTTTTATCTGTCAATAGGTAGCAGTCATAGAGTGTTCTGTCTACAGAGTTTAATTGATACAGAATGAAGAGATTTAGGTCACAATGCACACAGCCCCTAAATATTCCAGTTAACTTTGCATAAATCATTCCAGGTCACAGGCATTTATTCTACTCAGAAAGTCCCAAAATGGATATTAATTACAAACAGTTACAGGAAGGAAGGGAAATTAACTTTCATTACTAACTTTTGGGGAAGGAGAGTATTATTAGTAGTCTGATGTCCTAGAAATTCTGCTAATTGATTTGGCCTCCATGCTTTGCTAGGCAACAGAAGCTTGGTCTCTTAATGCTAATATGAAGGACAAAAATCTTTAGATAGTGAAAATTTTCATAGTTGGCCCCTATTTCAAGCTTTTTGGTTTCCTAGAAAGGGAGAGACAGTACTGAAGACCAAGCTGTGACTCAGTGTCACTACAACTCAAGGGCTAGGTACTTCTTCCTAGCCACAGAAGGAAGCCTTCAGTCACACTATTCCTTTTCTATCTTATAAACAACTGCTATCCAGGAAAAGATGCTTAACATTAACTCAACATGGACAATCACAATATGTGACTTGAAAAATGACTAGGTATGAAATGACTGAGTGTACATTGTGGTCTAATTCTCATTATTCTCTATCAATTAAACTCTAAAGATGGAACAGATACTGATTACTGTCTATTCCTCAGTAGAGTTGAACCATATTTTTATTTCATAAATATTTATATCATACCTATACTCAGACTTAATTTGAACTTCTTTACAGATATTCAACTTGATCCAACAGCAATCCTGTGACTACATCACACACTATTATCCTTATTTACAAACTACAAAATTGAAGCACTTGCCCAAGACCATATAACAATTGGAAGAGTCATTATTATACGACCAGGTAGCCTAATACCAGAATTCAGCCTCTTCACTACCATAGTCACTCACTGTCTGAGATCACTGCAAGGAGGCAAGCCAGATCTACTTAATCCTAGACAAACTAAAAGTCACCTTCTTGATACAAAATCAAACAGAAGTGCCAACAAAATGTCAGCATCCACATATAAAGTGTAAAAAGTGACACTTTATAATAATAATAATGAACAACTATAGCCAGCAACATTTTATGGGGGTGGAGTGGGGAATGGGATTAAAAATGGGGGAGGCTGGTGGCGCAGCGGGTTAAAGCACAGCACTGAGAAGCTAAAGCCACTTCCGCATGAGTACGAATTCCGCCTGCCCCGGAGGTGACCACATGGCGTGACAGACCTCTCCTGACCCGCCCGCTGCTCCCCTCAGCAGTGTACTTCGTCGATCTGCCTGTTCTGCTCCCCACTTTGTCTCTGGTGAAGCCTCTCACCGCCCCTGAGCCTCTGGCCTGTACCCCAGTTCTGTATGTACAAATAAATAAATCTTTAAAAAAAAAAATGGGGGAGGAAAGTGCACTGGACTATGGTGATGGCACACGGGTGATTTGGTAATGGAAAGACCACGGGGACTACAACTGAGATGGAAAAGGGCACAAAATGATGTAAAAATAAACTATTATATTGCTTTAAAAATGACATTTTATTTGTAATTAGGAGATTTAAGTGACTTTGCCTGTAACTTAACTTTGCCTTTAACTTAACTTTAACTTGTTTTGGGCTTCAATACTTATTCTATAAAATACAAATATCTTCAAGTGACATTATTAATATAAAATTGCTTCTAAAATATAAAACACTTCATAAATGTAAGACATTACTATGAAAACACTAATTTAAAAAAATGTGCGCCTTGCATTTATTATAGTACTAGTCACCTGTACATAAACACACACACACAGTGGACAAAAAACAAACAGATGGAATCTTGCCATTTGTGACAGCACAGATGCATCTTGAGGTAATCATGCAGGTAAATAAAATCAGTAAGAGAGACAAATACTTTACAGTTTCGCCCATTTGTGGAATGTAAAAGGCAAAGCAAATGAACCAGTAGAACAAACATAAAGATTTATACTCTGGTGTTTACCAGAACAGAATCAGGGATATGGGGTTGGGGGTGGGGGGGGGGGAGGCTGGATAAGAGGGGCTGACTGGTTGATGGTACATGACAACCAAGCAATTTGGTGGTGGGGTGGTATGAAAAGTTCAGTTGCTGAGATGAGAAACTGCATACCTGAAACCTATACAGTGATCTAAACTAACACCACTTCAATAAAAAGTAAATTTAAGATATTACTAAGAGGGTTTTTTTAAAAAAGATACTTCAAATTTTAAAATAGGGTATAAAAATATGTTTCCTAAAATGTTATTTTTAACTTACATAGGTAACTTTTATTTAAGCTACTTGTTATAGCTGTAAGTGATTTCACCAACTTCCCCAGTATTATAGTTTCTTGGATTCAAGAGGTACATGTACAAAGAATTAATGGATTTGCTTTTTGGAACTAGTATGTGGAGACAGTATTTCTAAACTCTTAGCATTCAATTATGTAATCACACTTCATTACTGCAAATTCAAACAGGCTCAAGAATAGAATACAGAGTGATTACAGACATGTCTCACATACAAGCTCAAGTTCTTTCCTCAAGACATGGCATTTTGTGGGATGGAAGTGATATAAAATCAGATGGTGTGTACAACACAAAGGTGGTCTCATACCTGTGAAAACTGAGAGTAACAGTGATTTACCAGTGTAGTCTACATACCAGGCACTATAGTAGGCTTTAAGACTAAAACAATGAATGAGTCACAACCCCGATCCCTAAGGAAGTTAATGTGTAGTATAGTTGTCTGAATTTGGCTCCAAATTATAATTATGTAGCATACTTTTTTTTTTACCAGTGTCTTGGCATTACCAAAGTCAGTTAAACACAAAAGTTTCTTGGGGTAGTAACCATGTAAATTTTAAAGTTTTCACATTGACTCTAAAATCCAACAAGAATTAGAATGCCCTGTTTAGCATAAAAGAAAAAAGAGGCCCTCCCTCGTGGTAAAACTCAGCACCACGAAGTTGTGACAACTGCTTCACCATGAGTTTGATCCCCAGCTGGGGAGGTGACCCACATGTACTGGCAGACCTCTACTGACCTGCCTGCTGCTCCCCTCAGCAGTGCACTTCCTCCATCTGCCTGTTCTGCTCCCCGATCTGTCTCTGGTGAATTCCCTCACCACCCCTGCACTGTTGGCCTGTACCCCAGTTCTGTATGCATAAATAAATAATCATTAAAAAAAGAAAGAAAGAAAAAGGAACAAAAAAGTCATTATAGTGCAAGGGAGTAAGTGCCACCTTTTGGGTAACATGGAAAACCCCACAAACCAGTCTCGACCAGTCAGAGATTTTCCAGATGAACCCTGCTGAATAGTATTAAATATATAAAGAAGAAAGATAATATAACATGAGACCACAAAAGCCTGAGAAGAGCACAGAGCTATACAGCAGCGCTATACAAACTTTGCTGC